CAGCTGACTTGGCCAAAGTCCTCATGAAAAGAATCTACGTGCCTTAGCAGACCACAAGCTAAACATAAATGAACAGCATGATGTGGCAGAAAAAGAAAAAAAAATCACTACCATAATGCAATACTATGCTGCATGAATAGCAGTGTCTATATCCAGGCAAATGACACCTCTCAGAATATATGGTCACACAGAGACAAAGAGAGACTACAACAACCGGAACAAAGAAACAGAGGAAAACAAAAAGAGGAAAACAAGAGATCTCTTCCAGAAGATCCAAGAAATCAAAGGGTTAGAGTAAGAGAGTTCTTTCAAAATCTTTGCTTACCAATTTGGAATGAATGCCAATAGCAGCTAATTTGTTTCCCAAAATAAGTGATTTGCAAACATGTAATCTCACTTGTAAATTTTAAGGACTTAAATCACAGAATCATAGAATAATGAAGTTGAAAGAGGCCTATAAGGCCACCAAATCCAACCCCCTGCTGAGGGTAGGGAAGCAAATCAAAGCTCATCTGACAGGTAGTTGTCTAATTTTCTCCTGCATGTCACCATAGCTGGATCACTCACCACCTCCTGACATAATTGGCTCCATTACTGTACTGCTCTAACAGTTAGGAAGTACAAAAGAAAGCTAGTTTTCTGTAACTTTGTCCATTGTTACATATCCTGCATGCAGGGATGATTGAGAACAGATCCTGCCCCTCCCCTGTATGACAATCTTTCAAGTATTTGAAGAGTGCTATCCTCTCTCCCCTCAGTCTTCTTTTCTCAAGGCTTTCCCTTTGTGATTGGCTGTCTGAGAGGGGGGTTTAAATTCACTTTTGTGCCCTGTTGCTTTGTTTACCATTTACAATTCAGTGTTGATTTTGTTTACCATTTTTAACGTATTATTTTAAAATTCTTTAAAAATATTTGTATACTTACTGTTTTTAGAAGAAGAGGTAATCATATCTGTGCTAACATATCAGGTCATAAGCAACAGAAAACTTTTTAAAAAGTTGGTCTGAGGAAGGGAACTTGTTCACAAAGGCTCGTATTAAATTACAACAGTTAGTCTTTACTGTGCCACTGTATTTTTATCTTTGTTTGTTTGTTTTTTAGCCTGATATACTGGTTTTAGCTGCTTAAATATTGTCCTTTAATAATGTAAACCTCCTGAGTCATTTTTAAGGAGAAAGGCAGGGTAAAAATATTAGAAACAAACAGACAAACATGCCCATTTATTTCAGTCTTTCCTCATAAGGGTTGGTTTCCAGTCCCCTGATCATCCTTATTGCCCTCCTCTGAATTTGTTCCAGTTTGTTGACAGCCTTCTTAAAGTGCAGTATCTAGAGGTGGGCACAGTACTCAAGGCAAGGCCTACTCTGTGCTTAAAAGAAGGGGATTAGTACCTTACAGGATTTGAAGACTATACTTCTGCTAATGCAGCCTAAAATAGATTAGCCTTTTTTTGCATCCATACTGGACTGTTGGCTCATATCATGCTTGTAATCTACGGCAAGTTCAAGATCCTTCTTGCTCATAGTATTGCTGAGCCAGGTATCCCCCATTTTGTATTTGTTTGTTTGTTGCCTAAGGTGTAGAACTTGCATTTATACCTGTTATATTTCATGCTGTTGTTTTCACATTTTTATTCCTTTTTTTGTTTAACCCTTTGATCTGCTCCTAAGCCTCAGTAATGTTAAAAAAATAACAACAGCAACAGCAAACAAACAACATACAGTAGTACTTTAAAGGCTAACAGATTGATTTCATTGCAAACTTTATGGGTTGCAGCCCCCTTCCACAGGCGCAGAGTGAAATATGGAACTACAAGTTCATTTGTGCTGTACGCTGTGAGAATGCAGACCCTGTGAAGATGGCTTTAAAGACAGAAAATGAAATCTCAAATGACAATAGTGTTCTTAACATGAGTAATGAAATGATACTTTTGAATTGTGTTACTGGAGGAGACTCTTGAGAGTACCCTGGACTGCAAGGAGAACAAACCTATCTATTCTGAAGGAAATCAACCCTGAGTGCTCACTGGAAGGACAGATCCTGAAGCTGAGGCTCCAATACTTTGGCCATCTCATGAGAAGAGAAGACTCCCTGGAAAAGACCCTGATGTTGGGAAAGTGTGAAGGCAAGAGAAGAACGGGACGTCAGAGGACGAGATGGATGGACAGGGTCACTGAAGCGACCAACATGAATTTGACCCAACTCCGGGAGGCAGTGGAGGACAGGAGGGCCTGGAGTGCTCTGGTCCATGGGGTCACGAAGAGTTGGACACGACTTAAAGACTAAACAACAACAACAACAGCAACAACAACAACAGCAACAACAAATGAGTTATGACTGTATTGATTTACCTCCGCTTCCTGGCTACTGCAAAAGCAATGACCTATCAGAGTCAGCATTGCTGGTCCAAGATGTTGAAGCATGGAAGCAGCTTCTTGGGTCACTCTTTTCCCCCTTGAATCACTTTCTAGTTCTGGACTATAGTCAATAACTTTACCCATGCACAAGATGGTAAAAAAACAAAAAACAAACAATACGCCCTGCTTATTAAGCAGCAATTAATCCAGAGGAAAAAATCAACAAGCTGCTTGAGGCTTCAATATCTTTATAGTCCAAAGACCAGGTGATATCTGTCTGACAGGAAATTACTCTAGCGATTGTCAGGAAGTTTATGTAATATACACATTCAGAACTCATTACTCATTTTAATAATGTGATCATAACTTTGATATGCCATTTGCTGTACCTGTGGCAATCTTCAGTAGGCTCCTTCTTCCAGAACATAAACCATATTTGAAACCATGACTACAACTTGTCCCTTAAAACGGCCACCGTGCCAGATGACTGGAGGATAGCATATGTCATGCCAATCTTTAAAAATAGAAGGAGAGGGACCTGAGAAATGACAGGCCGGTTAGCCTAATGTCTGTTCCAGGGAAGATGGTGAGAAGCCTCATCCAACATAAAATCTTAAAATACATAGAAGAAAAAGCCTTGCTGAGGGAAAATCTGTAAGGCTAAGTCTTGCCTCATAAGCCTTTTAGAATTCTTTGAAAAAGTCAGCAGGCATGTGGATGTGGGAGAACCAGTGGGTGTTGTCTATTTAGATTTTCAGAAGGCCTCTGACATAGTCACTCACCAAAGGTTGCTGAAAAAACTCCACAGTCAAAGAATAAGAGGGCAGGTCAATTGGTGGAGAACCAAGAAACAGAGAGTAGGTGTCAATGGGCAATTTTCCCAAGGAAGAGAGTTGAAGAGCAGTGTGTCCCAGGGATCTGTCCTGGAACCAGTGTTTTTCCACCTGTTCATCAATGACCAGGAGACAGGGATAAGCAGTGAGGTGGCCAAGTATGCAGATAACATGAACGTTTTCCAGGTGGTGAAGACATGAAGGGATTGTGAAGTGCTTCAGAAGAATCTCTCCAAACTGGGAGAATGAGCAGATAAATGGGAAATGTGATTCGATATAAGAAAATGTAAAGTAATAATGCACAATGGGGCAAAATATCAAAACTCTACCTATCAGCTAATGGGTTCTGAGCTATCTGTGATGGATCAGGAAAGAGATCTTGGTACGCCGGTGGACAGCTCAATGAAAGAGTCAACCAGTGTGGAGCGGCAATAAAGAAGGCCAATTCCATGCTAGGTCTCATTTAAAAGGGGGATTGAAAATAAAACAGCCCACATTATACTGGTATTGTACAAAACGCTGGTAAGGCCGCACCTGAAGTATTGCATACAGTTCTGGTCTCCGCACTTCAAAAAAGACATTGTGGAACTGGAAAAGTTGTTGAAGAAAGTGACTAAAACCATGACTGAGCAGGGGCACCTCCCTGATGAGGAAAGGCTACAGCGTTTGGGGCTCTTAAGTCTAGAGAAAAGGAGCCTGAGGGGGGACATGATTGAGATGTATCAAATTATGTAGGGAATGGATAAAGTTTTTCCTCTCACACTGTATTAAAACCAGGGGAAATTCACTACAATTGAGTGTTGGGAGAGTGAGAATAGACAAAAGAAAATATTTGTTTACCCTGTGGGTTGTTAGTCTCTGGAACTCCTTGTCACATGATGTGGTGATGGCATATCGCCTAGAAACCTTTCAAAGGGGATTGGACAGATTCCTGGAGGAAAAGTCCATTGCAGGTGACAAGCCATGATGGAGATATAGAATGTCCAGGCTTAGAGGGGAGGAACCTCCAAATGCCAGATGCAGGGGAAGAGGGGTTTCAGGAGACAGGTATCTAGTTGTCTCGTGTGCTCCCAGAGGCATCTGGTGGGACCACCATGAGATACAGGAAGCTGGGCCAGATACACCTCCCTGATGAGGAAAGGCTACAGCGTTTGGGGCTCTTAAGTCTAGAGAAAAGGAGCCTGAGGGGGGACATGATTGAGATGTATCAAATTATGTAGGGAATGGATAAAGTTTTTCCTCTCACACTGTATTAAAACCAGGGGAAATTCACTACAATTGAGTGTTGGGAGAGTGAGAATAGACAAAAGAAAATATTTGTTTACCCTGTGGGTTGTTAGTCTCTGGAACTCCTTGTCACATGATGTGGTGATGGCATATCGCCTAGAAACCTTTCAAAGGGGATTGGACAGATTCCTGGAGGAAAAGTCCATTGCAGGTGACAAGCCATGATGGAGATATAGAATGTCCAGGCTTAGAGGGGAGGAACCTCCAAATGCCAGATGCAGGGGAAGAGGGGTTTCAGGAGACAGGTATCTAGTTGTCTCGTGTGCTCCCAGAGGCATCTGGTGGGACCACCATGAGATACAGGAAGCTGGGCCAGATAGGCTCTTGGCCTGATCCAGCAGGGCTCTTCTTATGTTCTTATGACTATCATTTCACTCTACATGTTTGAGGTAATGGACGGTAACCCAGGAAAGCTCACACTGAAATCAATCATTACTTAAATGTGCCACATTCTTAAAATTGCCACAGTACTTAATAAAAATTATATTGTTTTGTTTCTGTTATCGGGAACAAACAGTCTCACCTGAAATTTGTGTCACTCTTAAACTGTTGATGTGATATTTGTCGTTAAGTCCTTCCATGTTCACTGAAGTGCCAAAATGCCATGAAATGGCTTTTGCTGAGGACTGTGCTCTTCAGAGGAGATGTCACTGCCACATATCTTAGCTGTGCTTCGTCCCAGCTTCACCATGTCCTTGCAGCTAGAAGACTGTCCACCACAGAGCGATGGGCTCGTGTTCCACATTTACCTGCTCATGGGCTCAACACATCCCTGGGGTGTATGCCAGTGATTTTACTATTCAATCTTCCCCTTTCTATGCCACCTGTATATAATAATAAGACTTGAAATGGATCTTGACGTTCATCTAGTCCAAGCAAGGATTAGTTTGGACTGCCAGGAAGGATCTCCTCCCTTCAACCCTATGCTGGCTGGGTGATGTCAGGGTGTGGCATTTCTTAACCCTTTTTACGTACTATGTTCCTTGTAGATGGTCCACATTTGCTTGTGTACATTAATTCACAGCTCTGTGTGTGTGTGTGTGTGTGTGTGTGTGTGTTTGTGTGTGTGTACAGTTAAGGATAGAAAGCTCAAGAGACCTTGAACTAGACAATAGGAAAACTGTACTGTATGTGAATTAACCTGTTGCCAATGGAGGGAGTGAAATCTTCTTCACAGCTGAAGGAGGAGAGCGGAAAGGGACATCTCAGAGAAGAACTAGGAAAGGAGCAGAACGGGACAGACTGTAGCCATTTCAGCGCTAGTCAGTACAGTCATATTCACACATTATATTATCTGTGCACCTTTCTCATTGTGATGCTAAAGTACCGAAGTCATGGAGTTGCTTTAGGAAGCACTGAAGGCAGGTGCTTAATAAGAGTGGTGTGGATCGGGGTGTCTCTAGTTGAAATCCTGTCGTACAAATTATGCTACATTCAATGGATGACCTCATCAGCTGAGGTGCTTCCACCCACCCATTCAAAGATCCTGGGGCTATCTTGGGATCTTTTATTCAGAGCAAACTATTGGAGAAAATGGGGAGGTCTTTAATTTCTTAAAATCACAACTGCTGGGATATTAGTGTATAATAGTATGGGGTCAATGAAGTATTTTTTGTGTGAGGCTGTCTGTGGGAGCCAGCATACTTTTGTGAGTTTGAAAGTAAGTGGCTGAAAGTTTATATATGTTTAAAATAGAATGAAGGGTGCAGCTCCTCCCTGCCATCGTGTCAAGTGCCCTCTTCAAATAACATAATAATTTCTCCCTTTGTTGCATTCCCCTCCATCTCCCTAGTAACCAGACACACTTGCTTCCGCTTTAATAAAAATAATGCTAATCGTGCACCGTCAAGTCAATTTGGACTTTAGGGCAACCCTTTCCAGAGCTCTCTAGGTGGAGAAGCAGTTTCCCATTCCTTTGATTCTAGCCCGTCTCTATTGGCCACTCCTTCTTAAAGTTCACTGCAAAGTCAGAATTAGGATCATTCTGAGTACTGTATGTGCATGCTCTGGGAAAGACTTTATGTGCTTCCTCATATAATGGGCAAAAAAAAAAAAAATCTTAAATGAAGATATTATAGTACTACTAGACAAATCACAAACCCTAGACATTATCTCTGGTTTAACAAAAGAAACTTTCGTTGGAAAAATGCTGCTCAGACCAATCAGCCAATAAAGTTTAATCCCTGACCATAAACAGTAGCAACCGAGAGAGAAAATGTGGGGTTAAGTATAATGGCTACTTGAAAGCCAGTAGGAGCCTTCTTATAGAAAGAGATATGTATTTATAAGCTATAGGTGAATAGGGACCAATATGTACAAAGAAGCAGAGAAATGTTCAGGAAAAGATCAAACAAATAAATGGGTAAAAGGTAAAAGGTAAATAACAAATCTAAACAATACATACCATGGTATGTGCCTGACTAATGCAGAAATCTAGGCCCAAAGTAAAAGACACCAAAAAAAGAATAAGAACCGTGTGAAGAGTACAGGCGAGAGCAAAGAGCAGCATTCACAGCGCAGCTTTTCAGCAAAACTCAGAGCAATCTATACGGAACCATTCAGCCAATCACAGGCCAGAAACATCTAGCAATTTGGTGTATATGCTGGCTTTCACATGAATGCATTGTTCCATTGTCTGTCTTGGGGTCATGTATTAATATGATTGTCACTCTTATGTCTGAGAAGTAGACTTGCTCTACGAAAGCTCACCTTAAAATGTATGTATGTATGTATGTATGTATGTATGTATGTATGTATGTATGTATGTATGTATGTATGTATGTATGTATGTATGTATGTAGATTTGAAACACCACCATCTACACCTGCGGTAAACCATTTGGGTTCAGAAGTATTAAAAACCGCTTCTCCTACTGTTGTTCCTTTATCTCAGGAATCTACTTCCTTGGTGATTTGCGAAAAAGATGTGCGTGATCTTCTTCAGATACAAAAGGTTAGGAAAGCTCCAGGAGCAGATGGGGTGACTCCCTTCTGTTTGAAAGTGTGTGCTGCACAACTAACGCCTATCCTAACACGGATTTTCAACAGCTCGTTGGAGTTGTGTAGTGTCCCTACATGTCTTAAAACTTCCACTATTACCCCAGTACCTAAGAAAGCTTCTATTAGCGGACTGAACGACTACAGACCCATCGCCTTAACATCTGTAGTGATGAAAGTCTTTGAGAGGTTGGTGCTGACCCATCTGAAGGACATCACTGATCCTTTGTTGGACCCTCTCCAGTTTGCATATCGGCCTAACAGATCAGTAGATGATGCTGTCAATATGGCTATGCACTACATCCTACAACATCTGGATTCCTCAGGGTCTTATGCACGGGTTCTTTTTGTCGACTTCAGTTCCGCGTTTAATACAATTGTACCATCTAAATTGTATCTTAAACTGATTCAACTAAAGGTACCCATTTCTGTTTGTAAATGGATACATAGCTTTCTGATAAATAGGAAACAGCAAGTGAGACTGGGGAAAATAACATCTAATATCCGTACAGTTAGTATGGGAGCCCCCCAAGGGTGTGTACTTTCCCCATTACTTTTCTCCTTATATACGAACGATTGTATTTCCACGAATCCCTCTGTTAAGATTCTGAAGTTTGCAGATGATACGACGGTCATTGGACTTATTAAGAACGGTGACGAGTCGGCATACAGACGGGAAGTTGAGCATCTTGTCGCATGGTGCAACAGTAATAGCTTAGTGCTCAACCCACAGAAAACG